GTGTGTGTGTGTGTGTGTGTGTGTGTGTGTGTGTGTGTGTGTGTGTGTGTGTGTGTGTGGGTGTGTATGTTTTCATTTGTACCGATTTTTCATCTCGAGACCTACAAAAGTTACAGGACTGAAACTTTGGGAACTTAATCTACATGCATGTACGGGCCCCCCATCCCAACTGGCGCTCTTACCTGCGTAGTACCACGCACTGGCCCGCCAAAATTTTTGGCGGGTAAGCCGCTAACTCGGAATCAGAAGAACTAAAAAGCTGAAATTTTGAAGGGGTTTTTCGACCCACGTAGAACTTAGTGACTTCAAGCTCGGCTCTATGCAAAAAATGCATCTTCGCACCGGCTGTCGTTGCGCTCCCCAGTTATTTTTTCGAAGGAAAAGGCCAAATTTTCTGCGTCATCCGACAGAAATCAAAAACCCTCCCATACTCCCTTCCTGTGAGAAGCAAGGGCAAGCAGAAGTAGCCTGAGTGGTAGTATGTATCAAAGAAACACAAATGCTAGCAAGACTGTCGCTGGCCAATTCCTTCGAAGGTTTCTTACAAACCGATGATAGTTCTGACTTTCTGTCGACTATTAAACTCAATCTACCACTGAAATGAACGAACGAATCGTACAAAGGCCAACCATGTTTCAGCACTACTTGTCACTGCGTCTTGTCCATTATACACTTACATAAAAAATATTCATGCAAATTTAAAAATAACTTCGAAGTATGCATTACAAATAAAAACCAACCAAATCTTCGCCTTTGTTATACTGTGCGATATCCCTTCGTACTGTTCGAATAATTATGACGCTGAGGAAACCTAAAACATTTAAACAAGTGTACGGGAAGAAGTCGATCACTCATTTCGGAAAGCACAATCGAGCAGCAGGAGGGGGAGGAAGATACCGGATAAGCAGACAATGACGATGATCGAATTGAGAATCGAGAACCAGTGAATCTGAACATCCTTCATCGACAAGTACGTGTCCCAGCGGCTTGCCCATGGTATTGCACTCTCCTCCCATGTCACTGTATAGGTCCATAGAATTTTATTTTCACCTCTCTTCACTTCCTGATGTCCACCATCACCCACTGTGCATTCCTTCAAATCACACATGGTTGATTTATCAGTGATATCGCTGCTCACATTAATCGGTGTATTCCTACATCTTACAATAAGTTGCAAATACTCATCCCAATGCCCCTCATCCATAACAAGGACCAGTTACTATGTCTGCATAACTTTACCAGGCAAAATTTTCTGCCGTATTGTTGCCATTACCCATAGTCTTTTTAGGGAGAGAAAAATTTTTAAACTTTTTAAACCATAAAGGACAAGGGTTTCTAGAATTAGCCAAACTCGATATGTAAAGAAATCATTTCAACGATTTAACTCATACAACCAAAGGGTAAGGAGTGAAAATTTCTAAAATTTTCATTCATAATCTTTACAGGGACCGGAAAATTTTTAAGCTTTTTAAACCACAAATGACAAGGGTTTCTAGAATCAGCCAAACTCGATATGTAAAGAAACCATTTCAACGATTTAACTCATACAACCAAAGGGTAAGGAGTGAAAATTTCCAAACAAATTTTATTTTACTGACATACTGCAAAATTCTCGATGCCAAAATTACTCTAAAGAAAAACAATTTTTGACTAACACAGTGCCAAAAAAAAAAAAAAAAAACGAACTGTTCTTTATCCAATGATCAAAACAGTTTTCTCACTAATCAGACCTTCTTCACTTCACTGTATTATCAGCCCCACTGCTTCAAAACGAAACATGATACCATGCAAGCCAAGAATTAGATGATAACACAATATATTATGTAGTGGTGCATTGTAACAAAAAGCTGGACCACCTTCTCTATGAAGTACTGCGTTTCTGGTCTAATGTGGAAAACATTAAAAAGGCAATGCAAGCTGGTCATGTGGTAAAAATGCAGAAGAAACATTTTAGTAATGTTAAACGAGCACTAAGCAGGCCGACAGTGCAGCTCAAAATAGTAAAGTTGGAGAAGTTGATAGACATGTCAGTGGCGATATTGAAAGTGACGATTTGGATAACAAATCCCATCCAAATCGGATTCCTCGAAAGTCTTTCCTGGCTGGCTCATAAAATTTACGAATTTGAGATCTTCCTCCAGCGCCCTTCCCTTTTAAATTACTTTTTTTTTGAAATTACGAACTTGTGAATTCCCGAATTTGATGCGCGAACTGTCAATGCTCTGTGGCTGAACTTCGAAGCCGACAACACGATAAACATTGGGACTCGGCTGGTGATAGCGTAAAATGATGTCCAGATGATTATTCACAAAGTAACGACCATTTTCTTCCCATCCCAGGCGATAGCCATTTTCATAAATCACCTCATGCGTATCCGAAACCTCGTACCGCGTTGCGCACGGAAGATTATCAACTAATCTGTAATTAGTTCATTAATTTTTTCTAATCCATACTTCAAAGGATTCGCGTTTCCTCATCCTTTTCACATCTTTCTTCCTACTCCAGTGCCGCGATTAATCAAAAAATGCCTATTTTTACCACAAATTTTTGAATCATTTCAATGTCTTTCCACCATTTCCATTCTTCAAACCAATAAAAACATATTATCAGCTTATAAAGAAAAGGAATTTCTTACAAATGCACGTGGTATTCCTCTTTGATTCGCCTTGCCAAGTTATCCGAATCCTCTATACTTACAGTAACTGGGCTATGCCCTGCGCATGTTGTCATGCATTTTGTGTCCTGTTTCATGTGGATCTGAAAGTAAACAGCAATAATCACGAGAAAAAAGGAACTCAAAATGAAACGTAAATCGGCTTCAGTAGCATGTGATATGGAAGATCGATAGGATAAATCAGAAAACTACCCAATCATTTTTCCATATTTACAAGCTGTTAACATGGATAATTTGCACCCGATGAACAGCAGCCGAGGGAGCAAGCTGGCAATTATAACATAACGCGCTATAATTATCAGCTCCTGAGCTAGCAGTTTGAGAGCGCAAGGGAGCACCAATCCTCTTTGAGGCCCAAATTCGTCAATTACCAAACTGTTCGATAAAGTTTTTTTGGTGTATATTGAGCTTTTATAAATGTAAAAGTTGTTGAAACTAAGTAGAAATTGTTAAGAAAATGAAGCGCTGTCTGAAAAAAACATTTTCCAATTTAGCTGACATATCGATCAACATGAGGGTAAGGTAAAGAATCCTGTGCTGTTTTCGGTTTCTTGGTCCATCCAAAGATGGTGCTGGGCAAGTCGGATTGGAAAAACAGCATGAACAACAATGGTTGACAGCTAAGCCTTTTATACGTATGCGTATGACTAAGTTCTCACTGCGAGTGGCCTTTGAGAAACAAATATGATGCCGAAGGAGCTTAATGGATGAAGGATATGGGCCTGGAAAATAAGGCATTAGGCGGCGAGTAGAAAACGAAAATATGCAAAATGTCCATACACCCGCGGCTAGACTGCAGACAAGACGGAAGAAATTGAAAAAGCTACGTCTGACTTAGCTAAAAAGTGAAAATAAAAGTCAAAATTTCTAGCTGAACATTGCACAGGAAGGGCTGCCGGCTGACAAAAATTTGACAGAATCGTCGATGTCCTCGAAGTATTATCTTTTTAATAAAAGCACTGAAGGCAGATGTACGGTAAGTAGTTACTAACAAAAACAGACAATCGAAATGTGGCTCTGGCAAAGAAATCAATGGATTAAAGTTGCTTCGACCGCTTTTCTTCCCACGGAAACAATCAGACTCTCCGTCAGATGGCGTAGAAGATATTAAAGTGGCCAAGTAAGAAAACACTGTTAGGCAACAGGTGCTCAACTAACTGAGAACAGGTGGATGTCAACAATCGTCCACCAGGAGATTCAGTGATCGCTTCGAAGAGTCTCCGAAAAAGCGTAAGCACCGGGTAGAAAATGAAGGCATGCAGTTCAGCAGGGGAATACATGACACAGCTACGCCTAGCACGCGAAAACATCCCAGTACCTTTGTTAACATGCGATCCTATACCGACTCTCAAAGCAGCATTACTACTTTTGGTGTAAAGCCCAGAAAAACATACCGCAAAAGGAGTATTTACAATTCGGTCGCCACGCATAACCTCGCCTAAATTCTCCGATATGTAATGAATTTCGCCTTGTGGTCGACAAAATGGCAGCGAATAATATTCATATGGCACCACTGTTTTCGTTGATGTGATTTTAATACCCTAAAAAACAGGCTACTGTAATTGATTTTAAAAAATTTCAGTGAAATGAAAAAACACGGGTAGTGGAAAAAATGACTTTGGCAAGAAACTAGAAGGGCCAGTCCACGCAAAAGTGCAAAATTAATCGAAAAACGCCAAATAATTTCAAACACCACGGAAACTGCGAGTAAGCCGAATGGTTTTAATTGAGCCAAACACTCAAATGAATCGAAAAACTGCAATTAAGCCTAAAATTTACTACATAAAAAAAATCACTGGAGCTAAAAAATCCCAATAAACGGTAAAAAATTCTTGCTCAGTCAAAAAACAAAAAAAAAATTGGCCAACGCACGCGCTGCCCGCGCGAAGATGCGTTTTTTGCATGGTTCCCCGCAGTTTTTGTTGCTACCGGCACCGGCTTTTTCGGCA